CGGGCCGGGGCATGCCGCGGGGCTTGGGCGCGGCCCAATTGGGTGTGCGCGGGGAAGGGGCGCGGGGCGGTGATTGGCGGCGCGTGCGGCGGAGCGTGTGGTGGACAGGCGGCGGGCGGGCGGCGGCAGGCGCGGCAGGCGCGGCAGGCGCGGCAGGAGCGGCAGGCGGGGCCGCGCGCGTCCGCGGACGCGGAGCACACGCGCCTTACACCGCAAATTGCCGAATCGGAATTGCGCCGCCTCGCTCCGGCCGCTGCCTTGCACGCCTGCGGGCATGACGTACAAGGCGAGCCGGACTGTGATCAGGGGTAGTGGCCTGCGGCCAGGTTGCGCTTCGTGTTTGCAGGCTCGTCGAGTCATGACATCAGCTTTACTTGGTCTGGCCCTCGTGCTGCCCCTCGTGCTGTGTCTCTGTGAGAGGACAAAGGTTTTTTTTATTTTTTTGCAAAAACTTGGATTTTTAAATGGCTGTCTTGGACACTATTTCCTCGGCAATACTGTAACCTCTTGCGCTAACACTGCGATGGATAGCAGCTTCGGACACGCCGAAAGATTAAAAACAATGTAATGTAATATGCAGATTGAGTACCGACCGACAGTGGTTGCCCTTTTTAAACTTACGTTTTTTTTGTTTTCACATTACGTTAAAAAGCTTCTTTTCCACACATGTCTAAAAACGACCAGGAGCAACATGCAATTATATTTCTATTTTTCTTTCCTTGTCCATGTGTCGAGAATGAGGACAGTCGAAATATAACCTCATACAGTATCCAGGACAACCGTCCCGACGGTCCACTAAGTCACTTGTCTCGCTACTGACTGCGATCGGACAGCCTGTCCTAGTCCCCGCACGCGCATGCCAACATCCACCGGTAGCGCCTTCTTTTTATACTGTTACCTCACAAACTACTACAGTACATTATGTACAAGTACAGCAACATGTACAAGTACAGTACAGTCCGTCCAATCACACGCCCATGTTGACCAGCTTAGCGCTGAGCTCCCACAGCTTCTCCGCCTTGCCCGCCTCCCTCTCCGTCGGGTCGATCGGCACGGGCGTCGTCTTATCCATGCCCTGCAAGTAGCTGCCCCTCCACTGCCAGTACCTGCCCGAGTCTCCAAACCTCCCGTCCGAGGCGACGAGCGCCACGCGCCGCCCGGCCTCCTCGACAGGCACCAGCTGCTTGGTGATGTACCGCTGGAACAGCGGGAACAGCGCCCTGAACCACCCGCGCTTCTCCCTGAACAGCTCGCTCTGCGCGATGCACCCGGGGAACACCGCGGAGAACGTCACTCCGTCCGTCCCATACCGCCGGTTCATCTCCGTCATCGTCAGGATGTTGCACACCTTCGAGTCCTTGTACGCCTTGGTCGGCTCGAACTTCTTCCCGTCAATCGTCCCGGGCAGCGTCTTGAACCCGCCCACGAGCCCCTCCAGCTCGCCGAGGTCCGCCTGCGGCGGCACCTTGCCCGGCAGCGTGTCCGGGTTGTGCGTCTGCGTCGCCAGGAACACGCACCGCCCGCGGTTCAGCTTGAGCTGCGGCAGCAGCAAGTTGGCGAGCAGAAAGTGCCCGAGGTGGTTCACCTGCACCGTCTCGTCAAACCCGTCCTCGGTGAACCGCGGCTTCTTGTCGCGCGGGTGCCACGTCGCCGCGTTGCACACCAGCGCCGCCACGGGCGGCACCCCGGCCACGCCCACCGCCGTCACAAACTCCCGCACCGACTGCAGCCGCGCCAGGTCCAGCGGCACCACCGTGTACGAGTCCGCGGGCATCCCCACCGCCTTGGCCGCCGCCTCCGCCTTGCCCGGGTTGCGCACCGCCATCACCACGTGGTAGTCCCCGCGCCCCGCAAGCTCCTTCGCCGCGTGCAGCCCGATCGACGACGACGCCCCAGTCACGATCGCCGTCTTCAGCCGCGCAGACATGCACATCGGCACCGCCTGCCCCGCCGCCGACCCGCACCTCTGCGCGGCACTCGCCGCATTGATCCCGCTGCGCCGGGGTGCGAATGACCCGGCCCGCACTGGCGCCACGCTGGCGCACTGCGAGGCCGCGCGGCTCGTGCTGGTCGTGGACAGGTGCGGGAGCGGGGTGGAGACGAATGCCATTGTTCGAGTGTGTGCTGATTTGGGAATGAGCTGATTGGGAATGAGTTGATTGGGAATGAGAGAGAGAGAGAGAGAGTTGACGGAAAAGAAGAGAGGATGGTGCGATGGGCAGAGTTGCGAGGAGGCGTGTGGGGGTGGGCGTATTTAAGCTGCGGATCGGGGGGATCAGCGGGGTGAGGAGGCGTGGGGGGATGGGTGGCGAGATCTCGTGGGCGACAGACGAAAAGACACAGACGGGGGGCGGCGGGAGATACAAAATCTCGAGAGCGCGCGATCGGGGGCCAGTATCTGTGAGATATTTAGCCGGTGTGGTGCCCGCAACCCTCCAACCGTGTGGCCGCCAGCCATCGTAACGGGAATCTGCACGGCAACCACAAATCAAACGGCACGCCGTCCGAGCTCGCCCCGGTCGCGACAGCCTGTCTCGGTCTCTTGTCTCTCGGTCTCTTGTCTCTCCTCCCCTTCCCCACGTGTACGCCACGTGGACACGCGAAGCGGGAGTGCACCTACTGTAACTGGCGGTGAAGACGGTTTCCGTCCAGGCATCGTGTTTTTCGGAAAACATCTGTTCTATCTCGCGCGCCGCTTGCGCAGGTAGGGTCTTAGCTACGGTGGGTCTTAGCTCTGTTGTAGAAGGTATATGAGAACACCGTAGCTCTAGAGACTCTCTAGCTACGGTGTTCTCATTTCTTGCAAAATATATATAAATTAAATTGAATATTTAAAAGGTTATCTTGGACACTATTTCCTTAACGCACTTGTTTTCGCCAATAACATCTTGCAGAACACCGGGATAGCAGCTTTGAATATGCACAACCATTAAGAATATAATGTAGATTGAGTACATACCTTCCCTTTTTAAACTGGCGTTTTTGGTTTCCCCAAGTTATTTGACATGCGGTCTTATCGTGGTTTAAAAAAGCTTCTCTTCCAGACATATCTAAAAACGGCCAGGGAGAACATGCACTTCTCACAATCATATTTCTGCCCCCAAGTCAGAAGTCCAGTACGGTGGCGGGGGTATCTCTTTCTTTCTTGTCGAGGAAGCGCAAACTAAGAATAAAATAGGTCCAATAATGTCCTCAAATGAGGACAAAGGTCCAATACTGTGTATGAGGTTGCTTTTCAACTTGTTTTTTTTCTCGACTCAACGCGACCGCAACGCACAAGTCAACTGCGGTAGCGAGAGTATGTTTAAAAACGTCAACAACAATGAGCTACTCAACAACAAGGAAAAAAATACTCTCGCTACCGCAGTTGACTTGTGCGTTGCGGAAGGATGGAGATTGCTGAGATCTCAACGTCTTTTCTAGCCATTTTTAGAATGCCAAACAAACAACAATCCTTTTGGACCAACCTCAAAAACCTTGATGCGTTGATATCTTCGAAACCAAACCCCCTGTTTAAAATGTCGACCGCGTATTGAAACTTCATTACATTCCCAGTCTGTGTGTGTGTGTATTCATGTGAATACACACAGAAGCTAGGAATGTGTCAACACATTCCCATTGTTTTGCGATGTACGTTAAAGAAATGGTGTCCAAACTGACTTTATAAAGTTTCGATTTAATATATATATTTTTGCAAAAAAAAGGTGCCCTTATACACCTTCAGGCCAAGCCTGACCACATATGATGCAAATCGCTCGTGGCATAGACACTAGCCCTACGTTTCCCGTATCCCCCAGCGCCTCCCCATGAACCTCGCCGGGCACGGAGATATTTCTCCCTCCGCTGCTCTGCTCCGCCCCGCCGCCCAGCCATTCCCTGTCCGCACGCTCCTCCCGCCCCGAATTCCCGCCCCGAATTCCCGCCCAATTCCCGCCCAATTCCCACCC